AATGCCTCTCAGCCTGTAATTATTAATTATAATACCTTTTTTTAATTTAATACTGTTAATATTAATTATAATACTAACTCTCTTTACACTTAAGGAAGAAAAACACGGTAGTTCACGCATTGCTATTTGACGGCGGAAATACTAATTAGTAGCTAACAAGATGAACAATTTGGCAAAATATGAGTCCTATCACTTGGTAAGTAGCTAGGTAGTAGGTGGCTGAAATTTTTATTCGCATTTATAGTGCTGTTTTACAAAAAGATCGGCGATGAAAGAAAACATCATGAGAGAAACCTGAAAGTTTGAGATTGAAAAAAAATATTCGAGCACGTGCCAGCACGCATTGAAGCAGTGCTGTTAACTCTCATCTGCTTTATATCGACCTCTTAATAATGAGAAGGGCCCTGAACTCTAAAAAGGGACATAAGTTACGTTAGTTTTTTACTTTATATAATATGCTTTTTTCAATATAATTTTTTTTCAGTTTATTGTTAAAACACAGTTTAGCATTAGTCCTATACGTTGCGTTATTCCTTAAATCATTATTATCAAAAATCTGCTTTTATTTATTGACCCGATTTGTTGTACGTTTAAGTATAAGAGGTTTTTTTTAACTTTTTTTCATTTGTCGCATTAAGTTCTCACTTTTTAACGAGTTATAAAGGTAACTTAATAACTACATTCGATTTATATCTGATTTACGCAAATACGATCATGATTCTGATGATCATGATTTTACGCCAGCGCAGAGATATCTTGATCCTATCCACAGTACTTTCTGTTCTCCATCCGATTACGCAAATTTTTCCATTCCGATTTCCTGCATGTCGTACCAGGTCACTCTATGTGGTTATTATTATGTTAATAAACAGATTTTTTATATAACGTTAAAACACTAATTCAGTAGGCATGAATGATGAATTAAGAACTCACACATAAGTCGCAGTCAATTCTGATTGACTGTGCCTTATGTATTAACCTAGAAAGAGAATCACTCAATTCCTCAATTGACAGTCTCAGCTCAGTGTCACAAGTGACGTGACGAGCGACAGGAATGCTTACGTGGTTGCTTGTATCCCTGTTCATTGCTGCGTTAAATGTAATATAATTTACGATTGATTTTATGTTCTGTATTTCAGGCAACAGGACAGTCTGCCTGTCACATTAAAGCCTACAAAACTCTACAGCTTAATACATGCCACACATTTATTACTATTTTTAGAGACTGGTTTATATACATCTTTATTTTATAAGAACCGACAACCGAAGTGGAAATATTCTCAAGTGGAAAACTTCAGTACCGATACCAGGAAGCGAAGGGCCCCTTTACTAATAAGAGTGACGACATGGAAAACTATTACTCGTGGACTCGTGATGGGCTGCAATAATGATGATTGTGTCTTAACTAATGAATAAATAACAAGTTTACTATGATCAAAATATTAAACTAAATAATACTTTTCCGTTTCATTTGATTGTCATGCTTGGAAGGCGGATTGCGATCGCAGTCCGACTTCTTGCAACTTTGACTCTGCTTTCAATTGCCCATTTGGTTATTATACGTCTGACTTACACGGGATGGTTATACTGCTCTATATGGGAAGCCATTAGAACTTTCTTGAAATTATCAAAGTCGCCTCATACGACACGGCACCATTTAAAAAATATCACATATAATTATTATGTTTCATATTATTATCAACTATGAGACAGAGTTTTTGGATATTTGTCCGTGTGTCCTCGTAAAATATATTCTACAATACAGGAGAAAATCCTAATGTAAAGTAGGGGTAACTTTTTATCCAAGCAAAAACTAACTGCTAATCTAATACTGCCATTGCGATAAAGAATGCAGTAAGGTGGACATCATTTTGAGAACATAGCTTACATTAAAATGCTTTTTCCGTACCAGATTTTCGTTTCATTTTCTTCTGAATTAGATATTAAAATAAAAATGAACTTTCAAACAGCTGGTTCACATGGAATCCGAAAGAAAAATGAAAAAGATATTTTCAAAATTCCACGTGACAAAAATTACTTACTTACAAATTTTGTTTAGGGCTTCAGTTTAACAGTTAGATTACTTAGCAGTCAGGTTCTAAAGAACATTTTTATATAGAATGCACTCATTTCGTCATATCATACATAGAACGTAACATTATTTGATGTAATTTATCCGTTCGCCACCTACAACAATACACAACAACATACTGTGGTGTTATCTATGGTTATAATTTTAGTTTTAAGTTTTAGATAGTCCATGTCCGTCCATGACACATAACGTCATGTTCTCAGAGTAATCACTATTATAGCATAGATAGAGTCCTAAAATAAGAACAAAATTACTATAGCTGAACTTTTTATACATATTATGATGTTTAACATGGTACAATAAGATAGCTATATTATTCTTACCTTCTATCATTTACAATGTTGTTGCAGTTTTTTCACTCCATAGACACCTCTATTGATGTGTAATTAGCGAAACAAAAAAAGTTGTCGATAAATTCATTTAGTCTATGACATAGTAAAATTGATTTTTTTTATAGGATAGGGTGACAAACGAGCATACAGTCCACACATATACATCTACATCTATCCTCGATTACTAATCAAAATGCAGATGCGTTGTCTCCCATGAGGACTGAGATGGAATGCCTCGTTTCCAGTAAAAAGCGTCTCAGGTTCTCTACACTCACCATACGAAACACAGTAACATTAAGCTACTATTTGACGCTGGTATTCTGTGAGAATGTATATTAATATTAATGTTAAGTATTTTTGTAAGTTTGGTTCGTAATAAATATTTATATTATATCTTTAAAGGTTTATGGAAGCTTTATCTAACATCTTACTATAAAAATGTAGTCAAGTAATGTGAAATTTCATACTATCTTTGTATAATATAAAATATATGGTGAAAAGTCACTGAAATCTAATTAAATTCAACCAGGTATATTTCCGCCAAATCAAAACTAGAATTTGGGTGTCACAGGAAATAATAACTGTGGTTATTTAATTGACACTGGGTTTGTTTTATGGAACTCACACAAAGGGCACTGCTACGATAGTACAATAACAGCGGCACGACCGCGGTCTGTCTTCTCTTTTGCCACTAGATCACAACTACCAATAAATCGATTACAAACCTATTATCTGTTTTTCTCTCTGCTCTCTCAAGATATTATCCATCATTAATTGATTAATTACAGCTTATCAAAGGACCGTATAGGGAATATTTGTCATAGTTCCCTCTCTTAGCACGTGGTTTAGCAACCGCAATTTTTTATTATTTTGAGTTTTTAACAGGAAGGTACTGTTGCCTATATCTTGTTTAATTTCCCTTTGTCGTCTTTTATGATACGTTCGGGATGGTAAAGACTCTTAAAATTTCTAAGTAATATTAAATATTATTTGGTAGGAGGTATTGGTCTGTTTTACGCCACATTTACATAGCATTATCATGATCCTGCTTTAACTACAGGATTCCGAAATATTTTCATCATTTAAAGCTTTTTTGAATATAGTCAATAGTTTTCCGGTAAGCAAGTGGTAATTCAATATAAATTAAACTCAATTACCACATGTATGAAAGATCATTACTTGAGAATGGCTGGTCCGATTGAACACTTTCTAGTCAAGATCTAGAAAACAGTCGTGCGAAGCCGGGCGGATCGTTAGTCAGCATATAAATTGGTTTTACAAATGGGATCCAACTCGCTTAGTACCGTTCATCAGTCAAACCTCAGTGTACATACCTCCCTACTAGTTATTAAATTTTTCAAAACGAATATGTGCAATGTAATATAATAATCACCATCACTTGATTTAAAAAACAATTTACTCGATCGGTAGAATAATAATAAGTCCAGTCCTAGTTTTTTTTTTATATTTTTAGACTAATAGTAAAGTAATAAAAATAAATAACTAAACAAAAACGTCTATATCGATGTCGATTGTTGCTAACATTGCGAATGGAATCGCTATAGATTAAAGATGCCATGTATCTTAAAGTAACGTCACATACAATACTACTACAATAGGGATGTAATTTTTATAGTGAAACAGAAGACACGAGTGTACTTACTATTATATTTGGCAAAGTATAAAGGTCTCTTACCAAAGGTGACCACTTGACATTTCTATTTTCATTCATGAATTACATGCAATATCTTTAAATAGATTTGTCTCTTTTTTGCCCATTTTAAAATTAAATTAGAAAAAGCGAGACCAGTATATTGACTCAATTTATGTAGAATTGTTGGCTCTCTCTATGCATGCGTATGTATGTAATTACTCTAAGGTCATATTTGTAGACTAAAAAGATAAAGTACTTATTCTATAAATTTGACATGCATATACACTTATAAATGACTGATATCACTTACCTCTATTTTACAAGTACGCTGAATTGGCTATACAACGTAACATAATGAGGCGATTTAATTTTCACCATTTCGGCGGAAATGGTGAAAATTGTGAGGTGAGCAGTGTGACAAAATAAATCGATAAAAATCCTATACCCAATTATTATATGGCAATTTAATATAACGCCATACAATAAAATATTGTATCAATTAATGCTTATGTCTTAAACACAAGCTTAATACCTCATACAAAACATAATTCGTTGGTGTATCTACGATTTTCTTCGTAATTATAGAACGGGTTTTGTTCATGATTACACCATTGGGTATGAATGGTTCATTCTAGAGGTTTAAAAAGGTCCAATGAGTAGGAAAAACTGTTGTAGGTAACTACAAAATAAAACAAATACAATTTTGTATATAATTTATTGTAAGCCATTCATTTTATCCTCGTATTAGAGAAAATAAATAATAAAAATATTATACCTATTTCAACAATATCTATAGGTATACGACGCAACTTGTCTACAGATTTGTTATGTGTATAGATTTCGTATATCTAATAGTTTGCTCTTTCAAGGCTAATTTACAGCTGTAGTGTACTTCATTAAGATTTAAATAACAACATAATTATTATTGCACATCATAACCCTCGGTAGAAAAATAATATACGCCAGTGGCATTACCAGGATTCCAAAAACCAGCTATAGTTACGTCATTAGCTGAGCAACTGCCTTCTTTGTATTTTTTGTATGTATCACATTTATGTGCTGGGAACCATTCCGGATGGCTGACTGTTGCCGTCCATTGGTCTATGCAAGCTCTGTGGTTACATTTTGCTGCCTTACTTGAATCAAAAATCCCAGGGATCAATGGTGTCTTACACTTAGGTTGCGATTGTCCTTTTTTATTCACAAAAAAGTCTACATCCCCTAGAACACTTGTTGTTCCTAAGCCACCAGCATTGTAGTGGTATACTTCGACATAATCAGCAACTCCAGATCGGACTTGTTCTTGAATATAACTGTTTGAGAAACATGGACCAGCTGGGTCTAGTGCAGTTATTCTTGATATCTTCTGTCTCGTATTTTCAAAAAAAATTTGCCCAGTATGACCGAGAATTTGACCTCCTAAACTATGTCCAATACAATGTACGTTCTTTGCTGATATGCCACCTTCTTTTAAACTAGTTAACATCTGGGCTAATGCTTTCCCAATATAGTAAACATATTTGACTGATCTCTCATAACTTTTGATCTGACCTTGATTAGCATTTGTGTAAGGTGAATGATCAATTATGATTAAATAGCTGTTTGGGAAATTTCTAAACGTATCTCTTATCCGCTCCTCCGTTCTTTTGTTGATATTAGATTTGTAACCTCCAACAAATATAATAAATTTCTTTGTTTTATCTATTTGTTTATAATTGAGAATTCCGGTTGCTGCCTTTTGTATTGCAAATGTTTCAACTTCACTTCTAGGAAAATCATAAAAATAGACATCGATTTCACTTACGTCGAGATTTAATGTTCTATTGTGATTACCTGTTAAAATCAATTTTTATATCACCTTGTTGATTAAAAAATAAATGTTAAAAATTTGGTCTTGATTATCGAGTTATTGTTATGAATAAAATATTATGTTGCATAGTGACTGCCTTGTTGGTCTAGTGGTTGTAGTAGTGCGACTGCTGATCATGAGGTCCTGGGTTCGAATCCCGAGTCGGGCCAAAAAATCAATTATTGAGTTTTTCTCGCAAGAAATTCTCAGAAGCTGCCTGGGATCAGGAAATTGGCGGTGTCTCAACCTAGTGCCTTATAAGGCACGTAAAGCCGTTGGTCCTGTACCTGATCTCTCTCCCGGTCGTGTCGGTTTACCGTTCCATCGGATTACGAGAGTGAGGGAATAGAGAGCGCCCCTGTGCTTGCGCATACACTTGGGCACTATAATCCCGTCCTGCGCCGATGACTAGCCTCCGCTGAGACAGGCCGCCGTGACCGAAATTCGGTCTGAAGGACATTATTATTATGCTTTATAATATAATATTCTAATAAGACTTTTATATTACGGTAAGAGATTGCAATCCAGCAAATTGGGTAACTGTGTAGTTGCAGTGGAAGAGTATCCACTACCCCATATAATCATGTTGGTATCGTAAGAGACGACAGAATGAAACAAATCAGGAGATATATCGATCGAATATAATATTGACTAAAAATAAAAAAATCAGATGCCAACCCGCCTGATATGCGTGGTAATTATGGCAAATGTCCCCATTTGAGGCAATCGATGGGGAAGACCCATGTTAAGCCGTGGACTTCAATAGGATGTAACGGTAACGATAAAGTGGGATACCACAATCCAGTGGGATCCAGCATAATTTTACGATCTGTGAATCCACCAAAAACTTGCAGCTCCGTAATCCGTTGCGGATCACATCAAATAGCGCAACTTCATTTAAATTTGCAGTCTTGATTCCCTTTGCAGTGCGGTCCACAACACGAGTTGACGCAACTTTTCCGTTCAGTCGTTTGGTTTGCATCGTGTATTCAAGGAATGGTAGCATTTGAAACTGATGGAGTGAAAGGGAGGGAGTGTTTGACTTTATTGCTCTACCATTTGCTAACTACCAAACCAACAAACGTGGAGGCAGAAAGAGCCCTTTCGGCTGCTGGCTACATATGTTATTCTATAAGAAGTTTATTGGGAGATAACAATATTGATGACATTTGTTTCTTAAGATTATATTTCCAAAAAGAAAAGTGACTTGTTAATTGGTATTTTGAAATTTATAAATTTTTTATTGATTCTTCACATCATTTTTAAAAATTAAGACAATTAGTAAATTAAATTCATTTGATATTCTAAATATTTAAATAAAGAAGACATTACCTCAGATACAGATAAGAAGCACTATATTTAGTTAACTATAATAGAAAGATTACAAAATTAAACAAACATTGATACTTGTTATTGTTTTTGAACTTTTTGTTAATTAATAAATAGTCAAACACTAAAAAATAGGTCCATTAGGTGCAGTAAGATGTTATTAATTTTTGTAACTTTCAATAAACATTTTATTATACTATGACAAAGAATATTTATTGAAATTCCAAAAAAAAACTTATATTTTTTGCGGTATCCTACTGGATTGAATCCAGATTCAATCCTGAAAATATTTCGCCTAATCCCTAATTACTGTATACACAAAGAATTGTAACAACACTACAATTTTCAAAAATAACCATATTCCTATATCAAAAATTTTATCATGTTATGGCCGTGTAATAGAATTTACTACGTCATATAATCTTGTGGGTGTCGTAGAAGTGACAAAGGAGAACTGAAACAGTAACCCATCTTCTTCTTCATCGTCTGCAGAATGCGGATGCATGGAACTGTCTTCCTGGTAACAGGTCAATGTTGAAAATTGCGGATGCCAACCAATCTTCCAAGCATGACAACTATAGCAATTATGGGGATATAAGGCAATATATGAAAAAGGATTTATTTCTGCAGTGAACTTTTGATAGGCTGTAATTAATTAATAAATAGTTCTGTTAAATTATCCTAGCTCAATGTATAGCATTCGTGTGTATAAGAAATAATTATACGCACCTTAATACTTACATTTTATTAAATTTGAGCGTAAGGCAATTTGAAAGGGTCCATATTTTTCCAAGTCACCACGGCCCCAAGCGTTGACGTAAATAAACAAACACGTTATCACACACACGAATAAGCAATACATTATAATAAATACCAAATAAAGTTGAATCAAGTAATTGTTATGGTCTACTGCGTAGTAGAATCTAAACTGATCAAAATCGTTCAATGTCAAGTACTGTAATGAGATCAACTCTAAATGCTAGTGACGTAAGATAACGGTAAGCGTTTGTATGATATAATACGGTTGACGCAAAGCGATCACCTGTGTTAAATTGAAGTTTTAGTCATAATTTAACTCCTAATATTATATATTTCACATAGTCAAGAATTTCTGCTTAAATAAGAGATTTAATTATAGAGACGTTTTTGTGGACTTATTTTGAATAAATCTTATAGACGTGTTTATGAAAAACCGCATAGTCCATTTAATACATTTGAAAATTCCAATATATTTGAATGCAATATATTTGAACATTGCAATATATTTGAAAAGCATAAAAAGGGAAAATGTAGTGCACCAGATATACTGGTACATTTGTACAAGACGTTTACTGATAGTTGTTTGCCATTGTTAAATCTAAAAACAACAGATAAGAGCTTATCATTAATGTTCACACGTAGGCTACTACAGATTCTTTATTCTCGTAATCTTGTCATCATAATCATAAACACTGATGCCTTTAACGAGTGGTAGGTAGAACCTACGAACTTTCATTTGGCACAACACATCTCTCTCGCCTCCTTTACATCCATATCCATAAAATAGATGAAAGTAATGTTGATAATGCAATTGATTAAATTTTATAAAATTGATATGCATTTATAAATGTGTTTGTATTATATAGATAACAAGCATTCTTTTCCATGTAAAATAGCGCAAGAAATCAAAAACATATTACTATATTAATACGTTGATAAAAATAATTTATAATAACAACCCAAAAGTAATGTTTACAAGTTCTTGAAGTTACGAAGTTTTCACTTCTTACATGCAGTTCTACGACTGGCAGTTTTTTTTAATCACTTGCACCATAGCACCCTCTATAATAAATTTACCTTGCTTTGTCCGTGGCTAAAGAAATTATGAAAAAAATAAATAAACAAAAGTATGTAAAAAAATAACAAAAAAATTGTTAGTGTATTAGATAAACGTGGACGTTACGGTAAATACAACCAACTAATATGCATATGCCTAGCAATGAATGAATAACTTGACAAACAACGTAAAATACAGCGAACAGTAAACTAAGTTATGGAGTTGTGACATGTGACAAATGACAAACCACGGAGATAATAGGGAAAATACCTTTCACATTTGAATGCGTAGATAAAAATAGAAACAGAGGAATTATTCTACATGTATACATCAAATATTGATAACGGTCCTCCGATTCTTAACTCTTGTACATGAACTGAACACATTATGTTTAATATATGTAAGTATATATTTACGGCTAAAAGACGCAGACGTATATGCAATAAACCTAGGCTTAGCCGTACACAAATATTTGCAGCCAAATGAGTTGGTGAAACATATGTGTATTTAATTTATTCATGGCATGTGCACAATCATAGCATCTAATGCCATAAGAAATAATAGATCCACGTTTACCTGGTTTTACTAAAACTATCTATGCTTTTTGGTTAAATACGTAGTATTTTATCGTTACAATATAAATCTCTGGCATGCGTTTGTAATTCTTCTCCTCCTAAATTTATTTTTAATTTTGATGAAATTTTTATGAGGTAGGTACTCATGGGATCATCGGTAATCGGCCGTTGGCCAGGCTAGGATGGATCGCTGATCTTTATATATAAAATTCCAGTGGCATCATATTTTATTTAAAATAATCATCAATTTATTTCTTTCATCATCAATTTATTTATTTTATTTTTAATACCCGACGTTTCGGGTGCTTTCGAGCACCATTCGGGTATTGATAATAAAATAAATAAACGCGATAAAATCCGTAAAAGTAGTTTCGCGTAAATATAAGAAATCATTAGTTATTTCAATATTACAGACACACAATTCAATTTCATTTGTGTGTAGTCAGTCAATTTTATATATGTGTAAATAAAAATCAAATTTTAGTTTACTGCTGATGTAACATAACTTAATTTTAGCATTTAATTAGATATAAAATATAAAAACATTAAAATGTTGTTTAAATTAAATTCGTATAATTATATAATATTCGTTATTTATTCATTCATTACAGCCTAACATAGTCCAAGGCTGTACGTGCGTGTCACCTATAGATTGCTCCATAAGGGGGATATTTGCCAGGCTTCTTGGAAACCACATTTTTTTTATATTTGTTATTGGAAAGATGCTGCTGCACATCTTCTGATTTCCCTCTGTTACGTCTTACGACGTCCACGGGACTATATGGGGTAGTGAATATTCTAACATTACCATTACACGGTATAATAAATATATTTATTAAAAAGTGGATATTTCGTCTGCAACACATATATACATAATCTTTTTTAAAAGACCGACAACGCACATATAATTCTCCTGGTGTTGCATTTGTTCATTAACGGCGGTAGTCACTTACCATTAGGTGAGCCGCATGCTCGTTAGCTCCTTCTTATTTAAAAAAAATTCTTGCTTTTTTTTCATTAACAGTCCATAATAGTCCACTGCTCGACCTCTTCTGTAGAGAAGTATGGACTACCAATAGTCATTTATCGCAGATTACTTCTGGGACACTACTTTAAACTACTATACGGAAGAGAATTAGTCGTGCGACTGTCCGTCCGCATATAAACATATTAATTACGCTAGTAACAGTGTTTATTAAAGGTTTTGATTTTCCCCTTCGTTCGATCGCTAGGTATAAAATCAAACTGCGGATTTTATATATCGAGCGTAGTGGGCTGAGTATTACCACCTGATTGGCACCCTGTAATTAATAAAATTAAAACTAAACCCAAACATACCACTGCAAGACTTCAAGACACAGTAAATTCATTTTGCGTAGATCGGACCATAAATAATAATGAAAAAGTTTAAGGTACTCGGTTAACACTGACATCGGAACGTCAGTCACCTAAGTCCCCGTGACCATGGGTGCTAAAAAGCACCCGAAACGTCAGGAATAAATCACATAAATTAAACGCAATAAAATCCGTAAAAGTGGTTTCAATCAATGTGTAGTGTTCACGTAAATATAAAAAATCATTATATAGTTCTTTTATTGTCAGTGCCGTATACACCTACTTTCATATACATTTAGTAAAAGAAACTGTTGTTTTGGTATCATAAACAGACACTTCAACTCTATTTATTTGTATAGATGTGTAGATACAGACAAAAACTATAAAGTATTGGCAGTTTCAACAACCATTCTAACCGTCATTATGTAAACCATAGTATCAGCGGTGATGAGTGGAAGGCAGCGGTCGATATTGACGGCATATTGTGCACATCGCTCTAACTAGATGCACTTTGTACCGATCCAGTATTGCGATATCGCTGACGTACGATGTATTTCTCATGGATACCATTTATACTTGGTCCATTCACTTTTGGTTTCCTCACTTTCCATTGGTATAAAACAATTCTATTTGGGGATCACAGACAATTGGGCGCTTTTCTGAATAACAAATTTTGCAGTGATAAATATTTTAGACTCTATTCCTATGGAAAAGGGACTATTTTCCTATGTCTCTAGCAATTTAGTTACAGTCTCACTGTCGTGTTGTAAATGTGTTGAATAAGCTTTCGTGGGTGACGAATGCCAGGCATTTGATAGCTCTATTGTACATGTTACTCCAAGAAATCAGAATGGATTAATCAGTACAGAAATAAAGTAATTTAACTTTAATTAAAATATTTATACGTAGTAGAGCCACGCTGCAGTTATATTAGTAGTATAGTTGTTGCACGAATGGGTCGGCTCGACCGAGCAAGGACCACGCTCTCACAGAAGACCAGCATAAAATAGTAGTGTAATGCTGCTGTGTTTCGTATATTGAGTGTAGAGAACCGGAGACCCTTTTTCTTGAAAAGAGGCATTCCATCTTAGTCCTCACGGGTGACAACGCATCTGCATTTTGATTCGTAATCGAGGATAGATGTAGATGTGCCACAGCAACCACTTACCATTAGGTGGACTGTGTGTTCGTTTGGAACCCTGTACCATAAAAAAATTGTATGAAACAAATTTTTACTGATTTAATCGCGTTTAGTAAACTTATTTTTATGTTACCCACATTAACTAACTTATTTACAATTTTATTTAATACTTTGCCACACCCGGGGTTGCTTACTTAAATATTTCACGTACTAATATCATTATTAAACACAGCAAAAAAATCAATTTATTTGATCCGATCTACGTAGAAGGAACACATTATTGTATCAAGTATGCGATGACATGCTTTGGTTGAGATACCAAACATATATTTTTTTTGTTAAAGCTAACTGTGTATAACTATGACATCGGGACGTTGAACACGTCAGTACATCCAAAACTACGGGTGCTTGTAAAGTTCTCGAAACCCTGGAGATAAAAGTAAGCTAATTAAACGCGATAAAATCATTAATTTTTTTTTAATATGGGATGGGTGACAAACGAGCACAAAGTCCACCTGATATAAGTTGTTGCTGTGGCCCGTAGATATCTACATCTATAATCAATTACGAATCAAAATGTAGATGCGGTGTCACCCGTGAGGATTAAGATGGAATGCCCCGTTTCCATCAAAAAGGATCTCCGGTTCTCTAAACTCACCATACGAAACACAGCAGCATTAAGCTATTATTTTATGCTGTTTTTCTGTGTGAGCGTGGTCCTTCCCCGGACGAGCCGACTCATTCCTGCAACAACTATACTACAGATATAGCTGCACCATGGTTCTACCACTAATGAAATTGTCGTCAATCAATGTAAAATATTCGCGTATATATAACAAATCATTATATAATTATAATAAACTGTAAACAAAGAAATGGCTCTAATGTCTTTGGCTCTTCTTTTTAAACTTTGTATTTTTATAACAGGAAAAATAAATACTAGTATGTATTACGTAAGATTTCTCAGAATATTTGTCAATTTACTTAGTTTTTGTGTTTTTCTTGTTTATCAGTGATTTTTGTATAAAATAATATGTAAAAATTTAAGAATATACTCCTCTATATTTATAAATCAAACTAATAAAGTCGAGTAAAGACCAAGAATCCAATTAAAAACTTTACAACTGGCTCCTAATTAGAAGTCCCTTATATTCAAAAGCTCATGTGAATGGTAATTGCTTTCAAATTAGTATAGAAATAAAAAGATGGAATTTATATGAATGGAAGGTAAAATTTTGCCAATTGTGTTTTTGTCAACATAAATTACGATTCAATTTTGATTTTTAATGTATAAAAAAATTAAATGTTACAATAATATTAAATAATTTTAAGGATTACTTTTAATAAAAAAATATTTTTAAGTTCAATTATAACATAATAATACAACAGCCAAATAAAAAAATCTTTGATGTCGAATTTTTATTCTAATAATCATATAACAATACATCACAGACATTTGGTAGTGATTTTATAAATTATTTCCATCACATTTTATATATTGAATCTCATATTTGGACAAATTACAGGGCAAAATATAATTATTAAACTAAATCAAATCTACTAAATATACCAAAAAATATACCAAACATACCAAAACTAATCTATACTGAAAGTACAGAAAAATACACTTTTAATTTTTGATCCACTTTATGGATTGAGATAATTTATTTTCCATAAGAATAACATTTATTTATACGTTTATTATTTGATTAAATGAAATTGACTAACCAACAATTTTTGCGAAATTGGAAAAATCAGGCCACGATTCGTCCGTGTCGTTGGAGCATGAGGACTTTTTTTCCGTTTTTCCTTCTCTTAGTGCACCTACTTTCTCTTCTGGTATACCGTGTTCTTCTTGCTTTAAAGTTTCTCCACGATTTAACTTTTGATATTTAACAACTAATTCTAAAACCTCATGTTGCATGCGCAATCTAAGATCACTTCTTAAATTTCTCATGGCATTACCAATATATTGACCAAATACAAAATCTTCATTTACCTGGTGTGTTAAGAACTCACGCCCTAGCTGTATAAGAACCTCTTTAACAAGTCTTGTACCTGATGTATTATTATTTGTACTGCTATGATTTGAACGCGGTGTCTGCTTCCACACGGCTTTTTCGTATTTAGGACGTATAGCAGGGGGCCCAATAGCAACTGACACCACTTCGTCGTTTTCAATATCATCTTCTTCAAGTGGCTTCAGATGGCCTGATGGCTGAAAAGAATAAAGCGAAACGAAATTGGCAAGTTGTTATAAAAAATTTATGAAACAAAAGTACACAACTAATGCATGTAGTCCATCATAAATTTGACGAGACGTGGCATTTTACTGCTAGAAATATGAGTATGCAGAGGAAAATAAGGGTAAGTTCTATCGCGTAACACGATGATGATGGCAATGAAAAAATTGCTGAGCTCAGCTGCTAAATTGATAGAATTTAAATTAAATCTTGTAAATTCATCGCTGTTGGAGCAGTCTAGCCTTGTGTTAACTTCATCTAATGTTTTTAGTACAGTATCTTAAACATTTATTGGAAAAATTAATTATTCTTACTAGATTTCATACTTTTTTTCTTCTTTGATTCGATTCACTTCATTCATAACGCTTGGTAGCCGGATTTACCTTTAATACTGCTGCCCGTCGCCGATCTAGGTTTTTTATGCCTGGCATAAAGAAAATGTTATATCTTTCGAAAGTCATAAGATCTTACGAGCATTTTCCATAGTGGCCTCTTTAGACACCCACATGATAAAGTAGGCCGCCAATATATGACAAAGTGGATACAATTTACCCACTGTTATATTAATCTGGCGTGATGTGTCAATTGGCGTCCCTCAAGGCGGTATTATCTCTCCTCTTCTGTTTTCCATTTTTATAAATCTCATCACACTAAATCTCAAGAGCTCTTACCATTTGTATGCTGATGATCTGCAGTTATATACGCAAGTAGAACCTTCAAATAGCCTAAGTGCTATCTCACTGTTAAATGATGATTTGAAATATGTCTCAGAATGGTCAACTGTGTATGGAATAAACGTGAACCCGTCTAAATGCCAAACGATAATCTTAGGTAGTTCAAAATTATTATCTAAACTAGATATTCCCACCCTACCATCAATTATGTTAATTATAATGTCATACCATTCTCTACTAACGTAAAGAACCTTAGTCTGTACATCGATGGTTGCTTAACATGGAACAAACATATACAGAAGGTGAGTCGCAAAACTACTCGAACTTTGCGATGTCTATATCGAAAAAACTTTCTTGCCACCAATACCAAGATTTTACTTGTCCAATCACTTATTGTACCGATTATTGATTATGTCGATGTGTGTTGCTCAGACCTGTCTCAACTTCATCTTAGTACATTGGATCATCTGCTTAACAACTGCATCAGATACATTTATGATCTACGTAAATACGACCATGTATCTTCCTTTCGTACACAGCTAAACTGGCTGCCTATCCGTCAGCGCAGATATGTTAGAATACTCTGCACCCTTTTATCAATTTTGAACGATCCATGTGCTCCAGAGTATCTGAAATCTAAATTTCAATACCTGGGAGATTCTTATATTTTTTCTCTCCGTTCCTCGGCCAATCTTAAGTTGCTCACTCCTTTACACTGTAATGGTTATTTATCTCATTCTTTCGCCCTCATGACCATTAGACTCTGGAACGACATTCAATTTAAAAAAATCTCCAAACAAATTCGTCTTTAAAAATCAAGTCCGTAAGTATATGATTAAATCGTTGCAAGTTTGAACTAACTCAGCTATTTTTTTCGTATATATTTGTATATATGTATATATATCGTTATCGTCGTATTATATATATGTATATATATATATATATATATATATATATATATATATATATATATATATATATATAATCCTCTCTATTTGATTATTTCTGCACCGCCTCCATAATGTCTATCTCTGTTTAGCCTAATGTTTGACTGGGTGAGAATTCCCTATGGCATTAAGTCCGCCATATGTACTTTTTTGTGCATGAAAGCATAAATAATAAATTACTCTCAATCATTTAAAATATTGTATTTATCTACATACTTTCTTTCTGATGTCTCTTGAACGTTGAGTGGATGTTTTTCGTTTAGTTTCGTTTTCATTTTGCAACATATGACGTTTAGAGTGAATGTGAATATTTTTTGCACCGTCTGTTGTTGGCCTTCTGTTTTCGTTCGTAGTCCTCCAGGCATTCTAAAACAAAAAATTTAATATGTATAATATGTATATATATTTACAAGTCACAGAATTAGAAATTTTAGAAATAATTCAGAAGTCATTATTGTATTCACAAGCAAATTGTTGAACATACATCTACTTAATTAATACACATACATTTGTTCCAATATATTTGATATTTGAATTTGTATCATTATATTAGTATGCTTCTTAAATATACAGTTTATACATGTTTGTATAGCTATATTGATAATTTAAATTCTTTAAGATACCATAATATATATTACATTGTAATGTTTGCACTTATTTGTAGTTGTTTACAATTAAATTTTAATATTATATGGAATATGAAATGGCTGTAAATAAGTATCACTTTCATTTATATTTTTCCTAAACCATGCTTCAAACCAACAAAGCAAGATAACAGAACATTTCAAGTGATGCTGAAGCCTTTTTCAACTATTTTATATTTTCCTTATGGACGCACGCCACATATGTACCTAAACCATGTTTAGTGCATACGTGTGCGTGCTAAATTATTTTATTTGCACATGTGTGCGTTAGTTCGTGTTCTTGTAATAAATTGAACGTAGTTTTGTATCGCTTGAAATGTACGCAGCGGTCCGTTTTTTTCTCAGTCGGTCTGAGCTGGTCATACTTCAATATTTTTTATTTATTTTACTTTTTAAAGTTTTTTTTAATAAAATTAAATAAAATCAACACTTACAATAAATGTCGGTACTAAACATAAAATAATTAAAACTGATAACATTTTTGCGTCCATCGCAAATCGTTCACGACCACCAACTGCAATGTTGTCACTTCTTTTCTTAAGACAAAGCGAATGTCGATGTTTGTTGAAAAATATGCATTATTTGTCTGAATAAACATTGAGATGTTGTTGTGATGACAAAATACTTATTGAATGGAATGGTTGTTCATACGCCTAAATAAGTAGGTTGCCTATATTTGGGCTAGAAATTTCAAACCTTTTGTACCGTAGAAATAAAATCATTGATTACTTAAATACATTTAATTAATCATTTACAACTTACACATCGTCATCGTCATTACAGTTAGTACATCAAAAGTTAACTTCTTTTTTTTATAGGATGTGGGGAGAAACGAGCACACAGTCCACCTGATGGTAAGTGGTTGCTGTGGCTCATAGACATCTACATCTATCCTCGATTACGATTAAAAATGCAGATGCGTTGTCACCCGTGAGGACTTAGATGGCATTCATGGCACTCATGCCTCTTTTCCGGTAAAAAGGGTCTCCGGTTCTCTACACTCACCATACGAAACACAGTAGCATTAAGCTACTATTTGACGCTGGTATTCTGTGAGAGCGTGGTCTTACCCCGGTCGAGCCGACCCATTCGTGCTACAACTATACTACTAATATAACTGCAGCGTGGCTCTACCACGTAAAATAAAAAAAAACATCTGAACAAAGGCCTCCGAGATCCCACCTGCAAAGCGCAAGTTTTTGTGTTCTAAGTGTTTTTAGAAAGAAGTTTCTATCCATCTCCTAGTATGTTTCCCTTTACCACATTTTACGACACCCAAGTACCTGCAATGTATAAGGTAGTATATATTCTTCCACGGCCACTACATATATTTTTGTTTTGTTTCATAAATTTTATGATATAAAAATTCAGAATTTCTAAACACGGTTAAGAATTCTTTTTTAATTATTATTATATGACGTCTACTATATTACCAGCTCCTCAAGTTGCCACAAAGTTATATTGCAGCTAGTTCTTAATAATAATGTACTTATTATTGAAATTATCTAGTTTTCACGGTTTATTTCCTACAACAGCTGACACAATAAAATACCATGGAAAGGCTCAGATGCAGCACACTATTTGTTTTTGTTTCCCTGTATCATACACGGGGCTAAAGTTTGCAAAGACTGAAAACTTTGAGTTATAACGTTATATCCAGCGGGAAACCGCCAACAAAATTTTGTACTGTCGAGCATAAAATGCAAATTCGTTCAAATAAGAATACTTTTATATCTAATAAATGTAAAATTTCATCATTCAGTCGTATAAGGATACGTCATGACATAACTACAATATATTAGAGGCCATAAACATAAAAACATTATATGCACATACAAATATGTATCAGAGGGATGTTGCCTCCTGCGTATAGTAGACGTCCATAAAACTTTCTTCCAGAATCCCCGGAATGATATTATTAGCCCCAATAAATTAAGTGAGGCCTCTTCAACCCCAGCGAGGGTGCCCCATACCACACATATTTGAACAGTCAATACACAACATAAGGACCAACCAAAGTTACAGGTTCACGTTTACGCCACACATTAAAAACCAACACTCTTTAATTACGGACTTTCTAAATTCGACCGTCCTCCTAAAGGATTCTGACAGTGATCCAAGCCGAGGTTAGTACCTCCTTCTAAGACAGCCATGGATATCATTACCGTTATCTTTACAGACTATTAAAGCCCACTGCTGGACATAGACCTCCCCATTAAATGTATGCCATAATTGCTATGCCTAATAAAGAAAACGTTTTTTTTTTATTAAGAAGACGGTTATGCCCATCTCCTTATTTGTTACCCTTTTCCGCCTCGTACGACACCCGTGGGATGATATAGTGTAGTGGATTCTTATACCGCTACTATATGTTTGGATATCGAGCCCGTATAAAAATATCCCGAAGAAATGTCATAGTCATCAGATTACACGATCTCCTTTGCTTCTTTACTCCGTGAGAAATTAAACGTGGACTGTTACGCTGGTACTCTTCTAACCTGAGACCCCTATATTTAAAAAATATAACGTTTTGTTTTCTTTATTTCTTTCTATTTCAATAACCGTTTCTAATAATTAGGAATTTCTCATGTATTATTTTATATAAAATCTCTAAATGATAATAAATTAAATAACCATATTAAATATAAATTTATCTTATAGTTTTACTTAACAATGTGTTTTTTATTTTATTTTATATTTGTCTTATGTTTTAACCAAATTTAAATCTCACACAATAAATTTTTAGTTTTGTTTTTAAATAAAATATTTTGAGTTAATGTTAAAGCTGAGTAAGTTCTCACCTATAATTTAAGTACATATTTATAATGTTATAACAAAATGTATCTGAAATGTCTTTATATGTACTTAGTTAGTATGTCTAAATATATAAATAAATAAACTGCTCCCGAGATACTACTATACACTATGACAAAAATGTCACAATAACGATCACTGAGATCTAGAACAATTATTTGTAGGTCAAACAAATACTTATTCAGTTCGGTATTCGAACACGTCGCCCTAAGCGCCGCAACTTATTGCACCCAGGAGCCGTCAACCTATTTTCTTACCTATTCTAATAGGTGGTAGAATTCTATTTGCCTTGAAGTCCGTCATGGTAGTTACCACCATCTTTCCAATTTCTACCGCCAAATAACATACACGCTCTGTTGTGTTCCGGTCTGATGGGTATAAAGATCCAGTGTAATTACAAACGTATATACGTGGCAGAGCCATAATGCAATTATATTAGTAGTATAGTTGTAGCACAAATGGGTCGGCTCGACAGGGGAAGGACCAAGCTCTTACACAATACCAGCGTAAAATAGTATGGTTCCGTATGGTGAGTGTAGAGAACCGGAGACCATTTTTACTGGAAACGAGGCATTCCATCTCAGTCCTCACGTGTGACAACGCATCTGCATTTTGATTCGTAATCGAGGATAGATGTAGATGTCTATGGGCCACAGCAACCACTTACCATCAGGTGAACAGTGTGCTCGTTTGTCACTCTATCTTATAAAAAAAGAGCTGTGTAATCCAACTTACTTCTTGGAAGTGATAGCGCAACAAACTTCTTTGTTTGAAGTTGGTTGCAGTTAGTAGCAAGTATCCATAGACTGAAGTAGCAACTTATTATGAGATGAACTGTTAGTTAGTTTGTATCACTTCAGTTTTTATATTAAACGTTGAATAAATATATTCTCAATTTAAAAGATAAAGTACACTTGAGCTTGTTTAGCAAGTGTTTTCAAAATAAACTTTAGCATCGCAAACTCCCGCTGAAAGTTCGCAACACACTTGAGCGGTTGGTACACTGAGAGCGTTTGGGTGTTACAAGTTTTATCCCCAGTATAGAACAAATAAGTGCCGACTGATGCACCTGTAATGTTCACACGATACTTTGTCTTGCACCCACTGTAAATTACGTTACTTGCGGGCTGTTCAATATTTAAAATTAATTTTATATTTTAAGCTGGCACTTTGTTTTTGAGAACTGCTAATACTTTAACACTTTCACTGTCCGATTATCAGACACAATAATAAGACAATAGCAATTTTTTATTATTTAATTATATGTAAAACACGGGGCAGAGAAAAGGTAAAAAATTTCTATTACCAACATTATCATCATTATAGCTCTTCCAAAGTTAACTGGTGATCATGCTCGTTACTCCATCTAGATGAAGGCAACTTGACACTTCGCATAACGAAACGAGCCTGCCACAGGAGAACCTATCCGCTGAAGTGGTACTTCTACATTGGGTGCGTTTGGCAGAAAAAAGCGCTAGCAAGCGCTTGTAAGCAAAATGGCGATCGTAAGCGGTAAGCGATGTCAAATCGTAAGTAGCTACTTTCCTCCAGGACAAGATGTTAGTTTTAACGGGGAACCTAACCTAATTTAAATATATGTTTGTAAAGTATTCATATTAAAAACTTACCAATCATGAATTTTTAATAACATGTATATGTTTATTCATGTCATTATACTACTTAAAACTAATATTGCACAAAACAACTTATAAACTCTACTTCAAAACAAACAAATTAAATAAGCAAAATGGCGGATTGTGTCAGCGCTACTGAAGTAGCAATCGTGTCCTGGCCGAAAACTATTTCAGCGCTTATAAGCGCTTGCTAGCGCTTTTTTCTGCCAAACGCACCCATTGCGATTGTGTGACTCTTAAGCAGCTAAATGCTGCTGTGTTTTATATGACGAATGACGAAAACTAGACACCATTTTGACGCTTATATATATTTTACGTTAAATCTCACGGGTGAATACGCTTCTGTATTTTGATTCATAATCGAGGATAAATATCACAGATATCACTTGAACTGTGTGCTGGTTTGTTACCTTATCTTTTTTTTCTATAAAAAGGATCTTCAATTTTCTACACGCACCATACGAAACAAAACAGCAATAAGTTGCTATTTTACGCTGGTATTTAGTGAGAGCGTGGTCCATTGTACGTGTCACGTGCCACAACATTCAGTTACGATCAGGTGGACTGTGTGCTCGATTGTCATACTTACTCTTGTATAAATTGAGAAGTTCGCTAGCACGCATTGAGGCAGTGAATTTTTCATGTTTCAAAAGTCCTCTCAGAAATTAGGTGAAGCCCATTTTCAGCAGTGGGACGTACACGGAACGGTTAATTTATTATAGTGACCAATGGTGACCAATGAGTGTCTTACGTAGATACTAATAAGTCACGCAGCCTGAAATTATTTTAGCCATTTAAGATGACAGTTACTACTCATACTATCAAAGTTCTAAATCGTATTTCATTTTGTCGAATGTGTGCTAGGTGTTTTATTACTATATCCTTACTGCAATAGCGAGCCATAAGAGCCAGTAGTTATAATGGAACTCAAAAGCAATAAGGAAACTATTTAAAGGAATAAACTTACTTTCGTAACTGTATGCTTATGAAAACATGTACATTCATAAGATATGTGATGAATCCATGGTGCA